AAGGATATTGTATGCTGTTATGATAGAATATTTGATCCTACACGTTTATGTGGACAACTACCTGACCAGTCCTTTTAATTTAGTATAGATTCTGACTTCCTCACATGACATGGCTCCAAACTGACCTATGTTCTGAACTGCCTATTATTGAATTATAAAATAAATATATGATATGCCAATTATGCTGATTACGGCTTTCAAAGTTCATATCCAAGTGAATTGAATTACAATTCCCATAATTCTGGATCACCAGCCACACTGGTGGGATTTAATGAGGGTTTAAATCCACAATACCTAATAAGTATCACGTTTGCTTGTCCCTATCACATTTAAAAGTTTTTTCACAGCAAGCATTATTAAATGGCTATGGAGGGATTTGTTTCATTCAGACTATTAAAAATCTGATTTCTCACCAGAGATGCTGCCCAAGACTGGTTTTATTACTAAATTTTGGGAGATACTTTGAACTAAGATCACATGTATATGGCCTATTCTTGTTTTATAGTATGAATTTATTAATACTGATCTAGTCAGATCTATAGTTATAGCTCTACATACACATAAGTAGATTTATTTATCAAATTTATATACCAGCCATCACATAAGAAGTAACTTTGGAAGATGTATGGCAAAAAACATAAAATGGATCAACATGTTAAACATGGTCATTAAAAAAAAAGCATGAGGTTTGATTAGCAACACAGTGACCTCAAGATCACACTGATCCCTGAAACCCCCATGCCTGATGACAAAGCCAGGCAGGGCTTGAGGGACTTCTGAAAAATGAGAGATTGAAGTGATATCACTTCAAAAAAAATATATTCCAAAAGGTGGGTTCCATGGCAGAGAAAGCCTGCTTCCTTGGGCCTATCAAACACACTCAATTCCCTGAGAAATGGGATCCATAGAATGCCTTTTTTGCATGATCCAATGAGACAAGCAGATATAATTGGGGAGAGGTGATCTCTCAAATAATCTGGCCCCATGCAATGAAAAACTTTAAAGGTCAAAAACAGCACTTTGAATTGAACTCAAAAGCAGACTGGCAACCAATGCAGTTCACAGAGCAAAGGCATAACATACTATTTTAAAAGGACACATAATTGAACATCTGCATTTTGCAAATCTGCATTTTGCAAAGCTTTCAGATGCTGTTCAAGGGGACCCCCATATAGAGTACATTATGGTAATCCAGTCAGGAAGTGACTAGAGCAACTGGGCAGATATAAAATTAAATAACTTGGATCCATCTTGTGTTGCCATTTCAGAATACATTTTCACAATATGGAAAATATTACAATGCTTAAGGAAGCCTGATAAATGTTAATTAAATGATAAATGTTAATTAAAATGTTCTATGTATATTGTTTAAGATTCTGAAATAGAAAAAATATTGTGCCAAATAATTTTGAATTATGCCTATTTAATCACATATTTCTTGGTTTGTATAAATATCATAATTAGAATTCCAAATTTAGAATATGAAAGTAATTGAAAGCTGGAATAATGTTTTATGTTGTTGCTGGCAAGTAAAGTCTGTGACAGATTTGTAACAGAATTTGAATCTTGAAAACAATCCAAGGTTTGCTATAAATTAATAAACTGCAAATAATTTATGAGAAATCATGCTTCTCAAAAATATGATTTGATATTTAGTATATTTAGCAGAGGAATGTAAACTTTCTGATTAATGTTAATTTTAACACCAGTTTTGGTAAAGGACTAGCTCAATGATTTAGCAAATTAATGGTCTGCATCCTTTTGTACCATTTTTTAAGCAATAAAACTATTTCCAATATTCCAATGTCAACATTATCATTTTATGACAATCCATATTAACTGGATTACAAAGAATTACTGGATATTGAAAATGGACTAAATGTGTTATAATAAAAAGGAACTATGGAATCAAAATATGTAAGAAAGCCACATTTCCATACTTAACAAGATCAACATGTTTTCACTTTTTCCAAAAGAAAATTCAGCAATTGTGAGTAGCTTCTATGCACATAATCCTTGAAGACTTGTAATTGGCCTTAACTCTTTGCGTGCAGAAATTTTATTATAGGTAGTCCTTGCTTAACGACAGTTGGTGCTAACCATGATCAAAATTTGAGCAGTTGGCAGCCTGCCTCCACTTACAACTTACACTTACACTCCACTTACACTTACAGGAGTGCTATAACTCAATTCACCTTCAGGCATTGTCTAAAGGCATTGTCTATAGATGCTGGGGAAGTTCCAAGGGCACAATAAATCAGCCACCACCCCCTTCTGTGAAGGGCTGAACAGCTGGGAGGCTTCCACAATAGGGCACAAAGCAGTTGCCCTGTTGAAAGTTCCACAAATCCAGGAAATTCCAAGGTCAACCATATCAGCTGATCTTCATTTTGCCTAATGCATGATGCTAACCACAGTGGATAGTAAAATCTGATGTATGACCTAGTGTAATATTTGAATTCAGTTATTGTATATAAAAACCAATAAGAAAATCTTGGCCTTGTCAACATTATACGCCATAAATTGCTGGATTTTGGGCAAAGAATATCTCTCATTATCTAAACACTAGAATTTAAGTAGAGATGCCACTTGGGAATGAACATATCTGTCAATCAGGCCCACTGTGCTCTGATTAGCAAACAATTTTTTTAAAAAAAAATTAGAATATAGTATATAAACCCCCTAGAAACTATTGTTTTGGATTGATGACTATTTTATTTCTAAATAATTTTAGATTTGCGTCTAAAGTTCAGGACTAGCTGGAAAATAACAATTCTAATCCTATTAGTGGAATTCTAACTCAGTCCTATATTTTTATTAAAAAGTTACTTTTTATAATATATACTCATTAAGTCCATTAAATTTAGTAATTTACTAAGCATCCATATGGTTGGGCTGAAAGTCTGATTCCTAATTTTGAAAACAAAATTGTGAGATTTTGGATCACGAAATTTATTTTGCTCAAGTATTTGTAGGTCCAGTTCATCTTTATATGTCACCTTTCATTCAGGAATTCAAGAAAGAAAAGACAGCATTCTTTCCTGTCTTTCCTACAGCAATGTTGGGTTTAAAAAGAATGGGCAGTCACCCATTGAGATTTGTGACTGAATTTCTGTTAAGCAACACCAGTTCTACCCAAACATACATTATTTCTCATACTCATCTGGACAACTTATCTAGATGAGTATGAGAAAGAAACAAAGGATAACTTTTAAAAATGTAAGTAAGTCCTTCCTCCACACCTTCCTGGGCAATTTCAGAACACACACACACACACTGTAAGTAACACTTTTTTTTAGAGAATAACAATTTAATTGAAACATGCTTTTCTGGATGAGAGGATAATAAATAAGCTGCATTTACCCCACACAAGTGGAATATGCAGAGGAGACAATAGGGCTGAAATGATGAAAACAACAACTGTCATTAATTTGGGAATGATAGCACATTCATTCTGCGAAAATCTTTACATGGTAGCCGGTCAAGGGTGGCATAACTACTGTCAACTTTAACTTTTGAAAATCCTGGAGGAAGGCAAATATCAAAGGGTTTCTCTGCTGTTTCCCAGAAAGGTACGTGGATATACTCATAATCAGCTGGGAACCTAACTGGATCCCATGGAGTGTTTATACAGTTTGCCATCGGCAGTTATGGTCTCCTCTTCAACATTCAACAGCTGAACATTTGCTAGCCTGACACTGACAACTTCAGAGTTTTATCTACAGCGATTTCGGGAGCGGGCAATTTTCCCTTGTTCACAACACCTATCAATCCGACAGCACCGTATTCCCGACCTTCGAACTCAACATGATGTGGTCAATGCGCAGGCGCAAGCTTCCATTTCTGCCACGGATGTCTGCTTCTTCTGCGACCCCGGAAGCACTAGGGACTTTGGATTGTTGTCTGGCGAGAGGGCAAGATGGAGTGTCGAAGATTGATTAAGGAGTAGAGGTGGGTTTGATTTCGGATCTGTCCATGGTTGAAGGGGAGGAGGGAAAAATGCGTTATATGTCATTTAGGGAGAAGCTCATCTTTTTTTTTTTGCAGAACAGACACACCTCCGATTTGTTTTGCCTTCCTCATTCGCTAGTTGCTAGGAGAGAACTTAATACGATTTTCTTTCTGATTCGATTCATTTTGTCATAGAGTTTACTATCTCCAATGCTTCTCAAATCATTCTTGATTCTCTTCAGGTTTAGCCCGTTCCCTGGCTATGCTCGATTTCAGGTGCATCACTTGAGACTTTCAAGAAGAGATTGGACTGCCATTTGTCAGAAATGGGGTTGGAGTAGATGACCTATAAGGTCCCTTCCAACTCTGATTATCTGTTATCTGCTTTGATTCTTAGCCTCTTGGATCAGCACTACAAACAAAATGTCATGGCTACAGTCTGCAATTAGCCAGTGCTATGAAGATGTATTTGATGAAAATGCAGATGAGATGGACATAGCCCAGAAAGAATGGAAGAGTGCAATGGAGAAACGAGTCAAGGTAGAAGTAATTAATCTATAATATTGATTGATGTTATTAGTTCTTCTCTTCCCTTTTGTATTAACTTGAATGCAAATAGAATGCTGGCATAATTATTGATAGGAATCAGAAGAGTCAATCTTGTTCTCTCTTTAGAGGGATTCTTAAAAATTAGATGCCAGATGGATAGAATTTACCTCAGAATTGAATTTTGGAGATGACTTTATAGAACAAAGCTGATCTTTTAATTAGCAAGAATACTTATATGATATTCTTTAAAATAAAAGTGCTGTGAATCAGGCTCTGAAATTAAATTTCATTTGTTCTCTTCTTTTTGATAATCATTTGGAAGGATACTTTTTTAGCTTTTTTTGTTTTACTTATTTTAATTGGTGTTATATTTAAATAATACAAATGCTAACAAATTGTATTTTATTTCTTTTGCTTAAAGGAGGGCTATAGGGAAGGTGTTGAGGCTGGGAAAGTGGTAACACTTCAACAAGGCTTCAATCAGGGTTACAAAGAAGCAGTAAGGGTGATGTTTGAATGTAGCCAGCTCAAAGGAACCATAAGGTATGTTGTAAAAATAAAGATACCCTCCCCCCAGAGACCAACCTTTATGATGGGTTTTATTAAATGTATAACTGTCATCTTTTTCATAGCCTGAATAACTTAGAATTAATCTTTGGTAACTCTATATTTTGCAAGGTGAGAGGTGGAAAATGTGATAAATTGGAACCACTGAATGACACTTAAGGATTTCCATGCCATAGTAAACACTCAAACTTTTGTTCAAATCTCTTTTTCTGGAAAGTAGAATCCATTTGTAATGTTTTTTGATACAGTGGTGATTTCTAGATTCCCAGTTCATTTTAGCATTTTAAAAGTAAATATTGTTTTGTTTTGTTGTTTCAAATATTTACATTGTAGTGCTCTTCTGTCTTGGTATCATCACAATAAACACAGCCCTGCAATGCTGAACGAGATGACTGATCTGCTGAATCAATTAAGAATATACGAGGAACTTATGCTTAAGAATTTAAATTGTATAAACCCACAACCCAGTGTTGGATATTTGCTACATACTCTTAATGACATGGATCTTGATCATGAATACTGCGCTGTTGAACAACATAGTATAACATGTGCTGAGCTTACTAAAAATAGTTGCAGAAATAATGGAACAGATTCATTTCAAAATGAATGCTGTGGCAGCACAGAAGATCACAAAAGTTCTAAAAGAGCATCCCTTTCTTGGCTTAAAGAAAGAACTGCCAGTATCATGGAACAATTTGGTTTATCTTCAGACACAGTTAAACATACATAGCTCTTGGCAAAATAATGTCTAATTTTAAATTATATTTATTTCTTTTAATCATTTTTGACAATCACATGATCACAGGACACTGACAATCATAAATACAAGAATTGAACACAAAGTTGAGATTATCTTAATTTCAAGCTGTCATTTCACAAGGCAAGACTACCTGTATGGTTTCAACAGATTATGGTAATTATATTTCATCTTTATTATTTTTATAAATAATCCTGTGGCTGTCTTTCATGCTGTTAGAGGCTGGGCCCTGGATAGGGAACAACAGGCTTCACCTGAACTCTGATAAGGGAGTACTTATGGATATATGGAGCCTCTGGAGTTTTATCTTTAGTTCTACCGTGTTTCTCCAACAATACGGCCTCCACCAATAGGAAGACCCAGCATGTTTTCTAGGCATAAAATCAAATTAAGCCCCTCCCCCCAAATTTAGGCCTAGTTTAAAACATGCAAAATAGGGGGAAGGGTGGGGGGACTTGCCATTTGGAGTGTCGTTGGAGCTGCCACCGCCGTTTGGAGCTGCTGCCGCCGTTTGGAGCTGCCTCTGCCGTTTGGAGCCGCTGCCGCCGTTTGAAGCTGCCGCTTCCGCGTTTGGAGCACTGCCGCTGTTTGGAGCACCACCGCCACTCCAAACACGGCGGCAGCTCCAAACGTGGAAGTGGCAGTTCCAAACGTGACGGCGGCACTCCAAACGGCAGAGGCAGCTCCAAATGGCAGAGGCAGCTCCAAACGGCAGCAGCAGCTCCAACGGCACTCCAAACGGCAGCGGAATGGGCAGAAGGGAAAGCAACAGCGGCAGGTGCCAAAGGTCTTGGGTCTGCAGCAAAGGTGTTTGGTGGGTGTAGGGAGCTCTCTGCGCTTCGCCATGATCGCCCGTTAGGAGCGGCTGGTGGCGAGGCTGCCCGCGGGGCGCTCTAGATGAGGATGAAAGGGGGGAAATTAAGTTACCCCCGAAAAGACGGCCTAGCCGTTTTTTCGGGGCTCAAAAAAAAATAAGGCCCGGCCTTATTATGTGAGAAACATGGTAGTTGGGGTTGTACTACTCCAGACAGGCCCAATGCACAACTATGAGTCTATGAGCATAATTCACTTTTAAAATATGTTAAATATTTTAGTATTCTTTTAAGTTAAGACAAACTTTCTTTTTAAATACTGATGCTTCTATTTCTGTTTAGTTTTTTTATTAAATTGGCAAGATAAATACGAAGAAGCATGTAATATTTAATATTTTTTGGTTCTTGATTTGATTTGTAAAAATGGAATTTGATGCATTTAGTGCAGAGCCTTTATTAAAAAGGAACATGTTAAATTAGTCTTCTATCATCCTTCTCATGAAAATTTCATTTTAGTGTGCACTTTACTCTTGTGTTAATTTATCATGTATATGTTCTTGTAGAGACTCCTGACATGGATTGTCATTTCTAGAATTATTTTCCATCCTCCCTAATCATCAAAACCACAAATCACAAGTTCATTTTTTCATTTTTATGCAAAAAGCATATAAGGATTTAGAACTCCATTTCCCTGAAGTGCAGACTCATTAAGAAAATATTCCTACATATTGGAAGCTTTTTAACTAGAGACTTCCTAAGTTGCAGCTTCTATTGAATTTTTACAAAAATAAATGTAAACACTTTTATATACTGCTATGTGAACTTGTGAATATACTGCATTTGCTATTATTTGCAAATTAAGCTATCAGTATAGTTCTTGAATTACTATGTAGTTATGCGACAAATGCAAAAGATCATGGCTAAACTTCATTTCTACATACAGTTTATTTATTTTTTTATTTGTCAATTGCATACAAGATAATAGGTATAAGTAAAAACATAGTTATGAATACATGGATACATATAAGAAAAAAATATATAAAAGAAACAATAGGAAAGGGACAGTAGGCACGTTGGTGCGCTTATGCACGCTCCCTACAGACTTCTTAGGAAAGGGGTGAGTCAATAGTAGACAGTCTAAGGTTAAAGTTTTTGGAGTTTGGGGGGAAAAAAGCACAGTCAGGTAGAGTATTCCAGACATTGACCACTCTGTTGCTGAAGTCGTATTTCCTGCAATCAAGTTTGGTGCAGTTTACCTTGAGTTTGTATCTATTGTTTGCTCTTGTGTTGTTATGGTTGAAGCTGAAGTTGACTGGTAGGACATTGCAATATATGATTTTATATACTGTACTGAGATAGGACCGAAGGCAGCGTAGTTCTAGGCTTTCTAGGTCTAGAATTTCAAGTCTGGTGGCATAAGGTATTCTGCAATGAGTAGAGGAGTGGAGAACTCTTCTTGTGAAATATTTCTGGACTTTCTCAACTGTGTTAATATCAAATAAGTAATGTGGGTTTGAGACTGTTGAGCTGTATTCAAGTATTGGTCTAGCAAATGTTTTGTATGCTCTAGTTAGTAGTATTGACAGGTACAGAATTTGATAGGACGCTCCCAATTTTGACCATTTGTTGTCTGTTTGACAGGAATGCTTCTATCCAGTTATGCAGGTGTCCAGAGATACCGTAAGATTTTAGTTTTAGGAGTAGTTTGTCGTATACCACTGAATCAAAGGCTTTACAGAAGTCTATGTAGATTGCGTCTATTGCTTTGCCCTGATCGAGTTGTGTAGTCTATATGTTTTTGCAGTGTAAGAGTTGAAGATTACATGATAGTTTTTTCCTAAAACCCAATTGTTTATTAGAGAGTAGGTTTTTGTTTCTAAGTGGAGGATGATGGATTGGTTAATAATTGATTCCATGACTTTGCAAGTGACGCAGCATAAAGAGATTGGTCTGTAATTTTCAACTGGGCTGGGGTCTCCCTTTTTGAAGATGGGGATGACCGTGGCTTGTGACCATAGTTTTCGCAAGGAGCTGGTCCTGAAAGATTTTTCAAAGATTATGCTTAGAGGTTTGGCTATGGCAGTGGGTAGCATTTTTAAGAAGTAGGCACATATTCCGTCTGGTCTAATAGATAGAGATGGTTTTAGATTGCATAGTGCTTTTTCAACATTGTCTTCTGTAAAATCGATATGTATTAGATCATTGTAGTTGTCTGTGGTTCGACTAGGAAATACTGGGTATGATCCATTGCTGTTTACAAATACTGAGCCAAAGAATGTGTTAAAGAGGTTGGCTTTAATAGTGTCGTCGTTGCAGTCTTTACCATTAGGTCCTTTCAGGGGTGGGATGGACCTTGAGTCTTTTAGTTTGTTGTTTACAAAATTGTAGAAAGCGCGGGTGGAATTGGTGGATAGAAGGTTTTCTTCTTGTTTAATGTGATAATTGGTGCATTCAGTTTTTATCTGGTGGCATAAATTTTTGTATCGGCTTTTGAAGTTGGCAACGTGACCAGATTTGTTTTTCCGCCAAAGTGATTTCTTTTTGGATTGAAGCTTCCTTATTGTTTTGGGTAATTTGTTTTTTCTGGTTTTGGGAGTTGTTAATGGTACATATAGTTTGATGACTCTTTTGACTTCAAGTAAAAATATGTCTTCTACAGTATTGCATCCAGACAATTGCCAATCAAGGGATGAGAGATTGTTGTTTATAAGATCATAGTTGTCTTTTTTGAAGTTATAATTGGGGATTCCATCGTTGTGATGATTTTTTTTGCGGACGTATGTTGAGACAAAAGTCAATCATGTTGTGGTCACTGTTAGAAAAGGGTTCTTTAATTTGTATTCCGTAAATTGAATTCAAACTATTGCAGAAGATGAGATCGAGGCAGTTGTTAAGTCTAGTGTTATTGGTTACTAGTTGTTCTAGTCCCAGATTTGTTACTGCATTGTAGAAGGTTGCATGTGTGGGTTCAGTTGTACATTCGTTAAGGGTCCAATTAATATGAGGTAGATTGAGGTCAACAAGAAAGATAAAAGCGTGTGGGCAGGATGCTGCCCATGTTAGTATATTTAGCTTGTTTGCATGTTTGATGTCATAATCAGGGGCTCTGTGACATAGTAAGAACCGAAATGTGATATTTAAGGACAGTTCACAGACAATGGTCTCAGGAATAGCAAGCTCCTGGTTAACTTGGATGATTTTTAGATGTAGGGACTTTTTATAGAAGATAGCAACACCACCTCCTCTATGGATTTTACGATCTGATCGGTAAACATGATAGTCTCTTACTGTGGTAATGGATCAGGGAGAGATGCGTTGAGCCATGTTTCACAGACAAATATGTCGAATTTAGCCATATTTAGTAAGAGGAGAAATTCAGGTATTTTATTTACAAAGCTTCTTGCATTGAGTATCTTGCATTTAAAGCCAGTTTTGGTTGGAATAGAGGTAGTTAGGGGCAGGCATGCCTAGTTTTGAGTGATATTGGATTGGATGGGGTGGGGTTGGATGCGGAGTTGTGGGTTGATGCAATCAGCTCTGTAGTCAATGTATAGGTCCTTTTCTCCGTTGTCTAGACGGTTTTTGAGTTCTGTGCGGAGTCCACAGGAGCGGATTCTTGGCAGTATGGATAAGTCTGGTCTTGAGCGAAGTTTTTTGTGGTTGGGATTGGTTTTTGCAATGGCATTTATTGTATGAATGAATATGCGTTTGCTGGACTCATTTTTGGATTCAACTCTACAAAATCTTGGAGCCATAGAGCCGTCATTGTATTTGTACCCATGGCCATCTCTGGTTATTTCAATGATATCTTCAGGAGAGATGTTTGTTGTATTTGAGTTGCTTATGATATCATGAACTTTGGTGATGTCATCTGATTCGTTGGTGTCTTTGAGACCAAATAAGATGGCATTTGGACATTTCTGTTCATGTTCCATGGTGTCTCTGATGAGTAAGGAGATATTATTTGTGGAATTATTTGAAGGGATAGTAATTGTCGGTGGCTGTGGTTTGGTGGTTATTTTTGGTTGTAGTTGTGATTGTAGTTGAGGTAGTGGTTGTGGTGTGGGATTTGATTTTGAGCTGATAGGTACTCACTTATCTGTGTTGTATTTTTTTTTCCAAGAGAAATTAGGCTTGCTTGTATAGTTGTTTCAAAACGTGTTGCTAAGCATTCTTCTATTGAGTGAATGAGTGATTCTATGCTTTCAACTTTGTCAGGTAGGGTACTCAGTTTGTTTAGCTTAGGAGAGCATGATGGACATAGAAAAAAGAATGTATCTGAATTTTTAACCATATCAGCTACGTTTAAGCAGGCAGGGTGGGCTAAATTATCGCATAGGCAGCATTTGATGTAAATTTCGCTTTCGTTGATGGTTTCAAGACATTTGAAATATGTGCAGGAATCTGGGAGGTCATTGGTAGAGATTGGTAGAGATGGTTAGTGTATTTATATAGCCATTTATTATCAATCAACTATGTTTATTCTTTTTAAGTCATAAT